TTCTATTTGACGGTGGTACATACTGTGCAGAGGTTTGTCCTTCCATGAGGGTTCCTGCTCTTCCTTCCCTTGTTCCTCTGGTTTCTGCTGCCTGAGGTATTCACTAAGCACGTCATCACTCAGGACCATCTTCCTGATGTAGTCATGGATCTTTGTTGTTTCATCCTGGATAGTGGCTCTGACGCTCACTAATCTGCGGCCTCCATACTTCCTTCCGCTTAGTGTACAGACTCAGGATGCTGGACTTGGGGTGAAACCCGCCGTGCATTGTAAGGAGCTTCCTTGTCTTGGTGTCAGTGGCCTTTATCTCCTCCTTTGGCCAGCTTATTATGCCAGCGGGGTACCTGATGACCGGCAGGGCGTAGGTGTTAATCGCCCGGACTTTGTTCTTTCCATTCAGCTGGCTTCTCAGGACTTGCCTTACTCTCTGCAGGTACTTGGTAGTTGTTGCTTTCCTTGCAGCCTCTTCATGGATTTTATTGTCAATTCACCATATGTGCAGGACATACAGAAAATCGAAATACTGTTTGTCTCTCACCTAGCATTGGGTGCCATAACATTTAGGAACTAAAACAGAATAAAGTAGAATAAAAATAGAATAGAATAGAATAAGAACTGAATTAGTGTAATTAGGATAAATATAAGCGGTACAGCCAATAAGCTGTGACTCAAAACCGAGTACAGTCAGTGACAATAGTGCAAGGGAGATTGTCAGATGGTTCAGCATCACCAGGGCATTGGTGATGAGGTGCAAATAGCATGTGAGGTATACATGGACAGTATTGCAAATGACCAACAGCAACAGATATCCTGGGGAAAAAAACAGGCAGCAGCAGATTTACCTATAACATAACAGAAGGTAAAACAGCAGAGGTAGTTTTTTTTTTTGTTTGTTTGTTTCCACAACAGTCAGCAGCAGATTTACCTGTAATATAACAAAAGGGGGATGTATTAAGTTTGTGCAAACAGCAGGGGTAGTCTTTTTATATCTTTTTATGTTCTGTGGTGGGTTATGGTCCAGGGGCAGAGCCGGTGAGATAATGGACAGCGTTCAGCTCAGCATATTCACAGCCTGGTGGACAAGGCTGTTTGTAAGTCTGGTGGAGTGGGCCTGAAGACTCCGAAACATTCTCCCTGAAGGCAGGAGTCTGAAGTGGGAGTGTGCGGGGTGGGAGGTGTCATCAGTAATGCTGATGGCTCTGCGGGTGAGGCAGGTGTTGAAAATGTCTGTAACAGAAGTCAGAGGGGCACTGATGATCTTGCTGGCTGTTTTCACTATGCGTTGCAGGGTCCTTCTGCAGGAGGCAGTACAGGCTCTGTACCACACAGTGATTCAGTCAGTGATGACGCTCTCAATGGTGCCCCGGTA